AAAAGAAAATTACTCTGCTGAAATCTACTTGGGGTTCCGTTTGTAAGCAAACTCAGCTCGGCGCTGACACGTCTCCTTGTGGGATCCGGCTAAACAGGAATAAAAATCCCCAGATGGACATCACCTTGCTATGGATGTCTAAGCCGAGGAAACTCTTAAGCCCACCTGTGTGTAGTGGTGACTGTTTGTCTCTAGGCCAGTGGTTCTCAACCTGTGGGTCGCGACCCCTTTGGGAGTCGAACGACCCTTTCACAGGGGTCGTCTAAGACCATCGGAAAACACATATATAGTTACGAATTGTTTTTGTGATTAATCACTATGTTTTAACTATGTTCCAGTTGTAACAATGAAATTGGGGGTCACCACAACATGAGGAACTGTATTAAAGGGTCTCGGCATTAGGAAGGTTGAGAGCCACTGCTCTAGGCACAACCGGCATCTGGCGATCAGCCAAGGTACCCAGGTACTTTCAATCAGTAATGGAACCTGTGAGTCTTTGGAACCACATGCAGATGGTGGGTGGGTGTTAGTGTCTAAGTACTATCCCACGTGATAGACAATTTCTGTTGGAATTAGGAAAAGGCAAAAATATTTTACCTACTTAATTATTTCTTACCATTGCCCGGGAAAACAGTGTCTAGGGAAATGGAACCCGGCTTAATGTGTGGGAGTCTTTCGTTCAGATGCTCTGATTTTGCTGCCTCTGGTCTGTCCTCCCGTTTTCATGGCATTCACTCCCAACCTGCTGAGGTTTTATTCCAGAAGTCTCATTCTCTTACCCAAACTGCTCGGCGCCAGCGTATATCCACAGGTGATTTAGGAAAAGTTGACTATTGAACAGCGTGCTCATCCGTCACCCTCATGAATGTGTGAGAGAAATGAATGTCCTCTTTGTGCAGTGGAGGTGTTTGCCTGCGTGCGCCATAAGCTTACTTGTTTCCACATGATCACTTCTGTGTGACTGAGAATAGGTGAATAGTCTATAACATACCAAACCAAGGAACTGTTTCCTTTAAAAGAAAGATTGCTGATTATTTTTAATTGTTTAAACTTAGATTGTTTTTAAATTTGTAAAATGAACAGAAATGGGCATGCCGTGGCCCCTTTGTTGGGTCATTTTACTTATATTGACCAGTATACTGCAAAGACAGGTGAAACCAAAGTTCTACCAGTGCCAATGTCTGCACGTATATCCCCCTGATTCTCTGTAAAACTGGTCAAAAGCAGATAGGAAATGAAATGAGTAAGTGGCAGCCGCTACCATTTATGCTTTTTAATCCTTTAACTTCAAATGAAAATTTTAAAATCTATTTTCTTCTTTTGGGGGGGTCTGGGGGGGCTTATTCGCGCTCTAGTAAATATTTAATGTCTATATACAAGGCCTTGGGGATCCTCAAATGAAACCAGTTTGATTCTTGCCTTCAGATTGCTCTAGTCTAGTAGAGAATATGTTCCTCTAACATGCTGTGGGAATTCGTAAAATCATCTCATTCTCAAGGAAGCTGTGGAAGATTCTGCAACTCCCATGAATCTTTACTGGTGATGAAAAGGGTGCCAGGAAAACAAATAACCAATAGAAAATACGAGTTCAATTGCTATAACGCCACTATGTTTGGGAAATATAGAGACATGGAGGATGATATGGAATCATAAGAGAACCAAGTTTTGAAAGAACAAAAGTATGCAGAAAAATTAGATGAGACACATCTAATTTAGTGAGGTAGCAACTGATTCACCCAACGTAAATAAATAAATTACTCTTCATGTAGCTACATGATATTACCAGAAGTGAAAACAAAGACATTTGGTCCATTCAAAATTGTAACAGTGAAATATGACATCAGAATACAGATAACGCTGATTTCCTGTATTTTTCTTCTGTCTTGACGTAAGATAGAGAGCTACCTAGGGACAAATGTTCATTTCCTGAATCTGTAGACAGAGTTTAAATAAAGTGGTGTTTCAGACAACGAAAATGCTCATGAAACAAATGACCACTTGTGTGGTGATTGGGGTGAAAGAAATGGATTTTTCATTGACCTGCACGGAATTTGATTATTTGAATGGCTGTCTTAAAGGGTCACAAGTAGAACGAGAGGCTTCAGTGTTGCTCCTCATATATTTGCCGGCATGTGTGTGTTTGACAAAATGAAATGGCAGATGTTATATATTATTAAAATACTAAAGGCCTGGTGCTCGAAATTCGTGCACGGGTGCGGTCCCTAGGCCTGGCCGGCAATCGAAGCACAAGCGTCTGGCATGGAAGGGCAGGTCCCAGCTGACCCCTGGGCCCTCGGTAGCACCTGGACCCCTGTGCCCCCTACGTGTCCTCCTCCGCCTGAGTCATAGCTCCCAAGTCCCCATGCGGAGGTGCGATGAGCACAGCCAGGGAGCAGCGTGAGCCTCTGGGCCGCCCAGTGGCACTGCACGGAAGCTGGGCTGGCAGTGTGCTCTCTCCCAGCCAGTCTTGCCGACCAGCTCTTGTGCGAACCCACAGGGAATCCGACCGGCCCCTGCAGTGGTGGCGGCTGTGGCCTGGAAGCCCATTGGGGCTGGCCTTGCCTCCGCTACCACCTGTTGCCAGCATTTCGTCGCTGACACCCACCATGTTCTGCACTGCCCCCTGGTGGTCAGCACATGCATAGCAAGCGGTCAAACTCCTGGTCCAGGGGACAACTTGCATATTAGGTTTTTATTATATAGGATATTTTTGTATGATTACCTTCATATCAAATACTTTTCTCTCTCACACACCCATATTTTCCCCTACTATTTGCACAATTTAAAAAAAATCAGAATGTTTCCTTCAAAAAGTGAGTTCTGTTTACCCTCCCAACATCATGTAAACACATAGTTGGTAAGAAGTCTTCTTTACTAATCTACAATATAAACAAAGCAGATTATATTAAAGGTGGTTGACCTAGCAAGCACTATTCACACGTCACTATTTAATACATAGAATTTTTGTCAGAGCTATTTCTGACTCAATCTAGGGAATAATTGCCACCAATCATTGCATTCACATTGCACATTTTAAACATGGTTTTGTTGCTTTGT